TCCTACAGAAACAGCAAAACGAGCAGCTACTTGTACGTTGAGATGGATTGAGTAAGGCATTTCTTGAGAGGAAGGTGTTTCCTGTCCAGACAAGGTTGACAATAGCATCCGACCACACATCCATCAGCAGAGGGCTCATGTGGCTGCCTCGGAAACACAACATGCTCAATTAGAGTGGCGTTGCATACTCAGCTCATTGGGCTTTGTTTGAGGCACATTCCACAAGCAGGTCGTTTCGTGCAACAGCCCATAGCCCAGGAACAGGAGTGCAAGCGACAGTTCAGCGACAAATCAAGACCAATCGCATGTTGTTGGTATATGTATTTAATTGTTCATAGAGTATATATAATATATGTATATATAAATACTAGTAATACTAGTACAATTTTTTCATATATATATATTATCAAACATATGAACTATCGTGCATAACACATAACATATAGATACAGTATATACTTGTAGGAATACACATAAATATTACTATTTTTATGTTTATTATTTTGTTATTGTTTAAATCATACACATATATATATATATAAATGTGATGCCATGAGGAACAAAAGAGGTCCCAGGGAACGTGCAAATCTGACAAACACGTTGCTCACTAAGAAAGACCTAGGATTTGTCTGTGATATGATCTCGGATAATTATGCACGCGCTATTATCATCAGGCTGCTGCAGGCATTGAGGTCTCCCGTCGGCTGCCGTCATGTGGTTTTCAGACAGTAATTCATTAGCGATGCATCGACGGAGTTGGACTTTGCTTGTGAATCTTCTGAGTTGCTGCTTTGCACTGCTTTGCATGATTCTGCATTTTACATATTTTACTGGTTTCACACATGGCTTCATCTTACACTGACAGGGTGTGAACGCGACTTGCTCTCGCACTTCATAAAACACAACCTTACAAGAATGTTGGCATGGTCTTCGGCACAGTTCACTGTTGTCTCTATATATATATATATATATCCATCCTTGTGTACCTCATCATGCGCTCCATCTTCCTCCCCTTTTCAAATGTAAGGGCAGTTTTGAGGTGACACCTACTTTGAAAAGCTCGTGCGTAGTGACTTCTTTCGGCAAGAATGTGTATATAGCTAATGTCGGGCTTATCGCCACCCTGACATTTCAATGATTAGACATTTTGCACACCTCAAATGACACCCGGACTCTATTCTACAGTGTACTGCCATCTCCCAGGCGATTCTTGAACAGCGTTTTGTGACATATTGTGATCCATACACTGTTCTGCTCGTGCATTTGGACATTACTCCGAATCCACTTCTGGTATGAAGTGACATAAGCTCTTCTGTGATAGTATGCTGTGGACAGTGGATACTGAGATACAACAGTACAAGCCACTCTTGGTGTTGAATGTGGCTTCCCATGAGCTTGCACTGAAACTCAGGTGAGTGCAGTTCACTTGGCCAAGAAGGTCACTCTTGCAAACCAGGATTGAGCCTTCGAAATTCCAGAATCTCAAATTCCTTCAGGCTTCAGCTGCACCTTGATAACTCAGGATTCTGACGTGACAACTGCCAAACTTTTTGCGGAGAAGGCAATGACGGTTGTTTGGCCGCGTTCTACAGCTTAAGCCTACGGTGCCTCAAGCCTCCCAGGAGAGCCACAACATTGAGACAGGCACCAAAAAGCTTGACGGGTCTATCCTTCAGGAGTCTCTTTGTTTGGAGACTGTTAAGTTTGAGGAAGAGTCTGATTCATGTGCTTCAACCGCAGGAGTTTACAACTCCACCCAAAGATTACAGTATCAGGCATCTCGTCAACAAGCAGCCCATGTCCAGCACAGTCTCCTGAAGACATTTGAGGTTGAACAACCACTTCAATGTCCAGTACAGTGGGCGGTTCACCATAGGACTCTTGAATGCATTTGTTTGGCGCCATGTTTGTGAAATAAGAAGGCCCAACTCAGTCAGCAAAACCTACATCACGTAGGGAAGCGGGCTTAGGCGATCAAGAATTGCCCATGATCTATGACACTGGATCATTTGAGGCCAGGTTTGATTTAAGTGCTCTCCATTGGAACGAAAGCAATCCTCACGCTCTACATGAGTCAGACGACTGGCCCAGCTTGACTCCATTGACACAGGTCCTGGTGCTTTCAACAAAGTGCACGAGCTGCGTCAAGAGCTTGTCCATGCTCCTTGGCGGCTGTGATGTGGTCTCTCAGGGAGAGACTTGACCTCTGCTTGTGAGGTACGACTACAAACAGTCGCATTCCTTCAGAGAAAGCCCTTCTCACGCAGTACACTTATATGCAACTGCACAACTCCTTTGCAGAGCTTCGTCTTCAACATGCCTTTACTATGTTCCGACTTCTCTTTCTAGGTAGTTGCAGAACATGCCTTTGTAAGCGGCGATGTCGTAACAGCAGAGGCAGGACTTGCTAGACTGACGACGTTCGAAGCACAACTGACCGACACATGCGCATGTGAAGTTCAGACATTGGGTGCAGGGTTTCGAAACTCTACGACTGGGTGGAAGAGGCTTTGCTGCAGTTTAGACTCGGCCATGGTTACATTTACAGCTCACTTTGCAACAGGTTCGGAACCATTGCCACGCTCTACTTAGGAGACTCTGCTGTGTCGACGAATGATATGACTTTTTGGATGGTGCAAAAGCATGAGCTGAAGTTCTGGCAGACTGGGAATGTCTCAGCCCCGATGTATTCTAATCTTTGACTCAAGACTTCACAAGAAAGCATGTTCTTGTCCATCCAGTGGATTGACACACATGCATGTAGCATCATGTAGCCAAGGCAATTTTCTCTGGCATCGTCGGGCTGTCTCACGTGAGACTCGGCTTTGATTAGTTTTTGTCCAACTCAAGAAGCTATGGATGCACATCAAACTGCGCGCATTGCCAGCGCAATTCAAGTGTCAATTGATTATTGAGAACTGTGGTGGTATGGGTTTATCTCAGAATGATCACGTGGCACTCAATTATTTAAAAGCAAGTCAAGTCATATCAAACCAGAAGACCTTGATTGACCTTCCTGGAAGGTCAAGATACATGGTGTATCCAAGTTGTGACCCATCCCCATAATCTACGTACACAATAACTATATACTACTACTACTACTACTACTACTACTACTACTACTACTACTACTACTACGACTACGACTACGACTACGACTACGACTACGACTACGACTACGACTACGACTACCACTACGACTACGACTACGACTACGACTACCACTACGACTACGACTACTACTACTACGACTACGACTACGACTACGACTACTCCTACTCCTACTCCTACTGCTACTGCTCCTGCTCCTGCTGCTGCTGCTGCTGCGGCTGCTACTGCTGCTACTACTACGACTACCACCACTACTACCACTACTACCACTGCTACCACTACTACCACTACCACTACCTCTACCGGTCTTATAATTACGACCTCCCTCAACCCGCCCCCAAAAGAAAAAAGAAATGGCGAGGCCGGGGCCCTCCTTATTAATACGGTTCTCACATTATATATATATATATTATTGTAATACTGTTTTCAAGGTCCTGCTTCAGACTCCTACCTTGCTGCATCCTTGCTGCAACCCATGAACTTTGATCACGCGGTGTACCAATATGGGGTGTGCCTATCCCGAAGCAAGATACCAGGATATTGACCTGCCCTTTCTTCGTGACGAAGCTCTTGCTTGCAGGAAGAGAATCCCTGACGGCTTCAGCGGCGATGCAACAGAAGATCGGCAGGAATTCCCAGCATCCCTTGCGCATGGTGAACACCTCGATCTTTGGGTAGCATACAGCAGCCTGTTTAAGCTTTTTCAATCAATATACGGTATTGTCGTCCATCATTGTGCTAAAAATCGCACGGCCCTCGCACTCTCAAGCAGTCAGCAAGGTGACGCACTCTTGCAACAAGCATAGCATTCATCGTGTATTTCATTTTTTTAAACATATTTCTCTTTGGTACAACAGACTCGGTTCATATCAATGTGTGCGGTTCTTTTTGTTTGCTTTGCAGGTGCTGCAAGTTTGACAATTTGCAGGTCCTTGCTTGAAGAGATGCACCTGGATGCTTTTGCTTTGTGCTACCAGCGAGGCCGACACAGAAAGCCTTGGTTTCTTCGAAGGAAAAAGATACGCTATTAAAATGAATGACCAATATAAAGATGCCAATAAATTTAATGTTGAATATCATGTTCTTTCTTTATTTCCTGTCTTTTTTTCATTAAGACAGAGCTGCATGGTTGACAGGTGGCCTGAGCAGCCCTGGCTGGCTAAAGCTTCCTGGCTGCAATTTGTACAGTTAGAACGTGCTTGGAGCCTGTGGAAAGCAGGTGTTATTTCCTTAATACATTTCATTAGCCAAAATGCACTGCCATTTTGGCTCAAGTGGTAGCGTTTCTAGGTACCATCCCAGTCCGATTTCATTCTCACATTTCAACACAGACCCATGAGGAATCAAACCAACCGGCAAAAAGCTGCGTGCGACTTTGCTGTTGTCTTTTTGGACTTGATGTTTAAGGAAACTAAAACATATCATTCGATTTTCGTGCAAGGCTTCATGGTTTGCCACGTGGTGAGTACTCTGCATGCAAACTATTGCACAAGTGTGCCTTTTTTGTTGTGTCGTTACCCTTGGGGATGCGGCCGGGTGTGAAACTTCGGTGCTCATGCCCCCACACCCCACGTGAAAACTCGAAAATTAGAAACTCGATTCGTTTATACAAAGGTTGTTAGATGACTGCATTGTTGGACGCTTTTGCTCTGTTTCGGCCAGGTAAGTTTTTGATTTTTTGATGTTTTGAGCTTTTTCAATGCCCAAGGGGGGGTTGAGACTTTTCTTGTTTTTTGAGTTATATAGTTTTGAGTTTTCAACTTTGTAGTGTTTTTCGAGTTTGAACATGTCGCGTAAAACGATTGCTTAGTAATGGTAATCGGTAATCATGAATAGAACAGTGTACGCATTGGCTTCAAACACTAAGGTTTGGGCCTTCCATCAGTGCAATGTCTCAAGATCGAGGCAACTTGCAGCTTTATCAGCCGTTGACAACGAAGATCGAGCGATCTCCGATGCTTCCAGGCTTTCAATCGGTGGATGTGTCCGGAGACAGCCACTGGGCCACGAAGCTTTCAAAGTTCAAGGCCGACACTTTTGGGGTCTGCAATTTCTATGGTGGGTAGGGAAGGCTGATAGCTGCCATTTTGTGAAGTTAAATCTCTAGACGGGTGTCAGGTAGACTTGGATGGTATAGATACCTCTACTCTTTGCAGACCATCTTGTGGCAACCTGAGTGCCTCAAGTGTTTTAATGCCACTGGGACTCGTCAAAGTGGCTGATGGTCAATTCATGTCAATTCTCTCCGAGGTGGTGCTTTGATCGACTCTGGCACATCCCTCTTGACCTTTCCGAGATCTGCTAGCCATATCACAGAGGCCTTGAAGCGCAAGGCTGGGAACTGGAGCACAGTCTTCATGTCTTCTGTTCACAACACAGCAAGGTCAAGAGTGACTGCAGCAACTTGGACGAGCTCCCGACGCTTTTCTTCGAGCTCGACGGTGCTGAGGCGCTTCAAGCACTTCAAGCTCGAGCAAGTACAAAGCAAAGCAAATGCAGCCCTGCTTTTGAGCTGTGAGTCTTGTGCGAGAGGTGGTGCTGCCACCAAAGGCCTACATTTTCAAGGCCCTGTCTCCCATGCAGAATTGCAGTTTTTGTAGACCAACACATCCCTGTGGTTGCCGCATTAGGTTTTTGGAGGATAGCGAACCCTTTTTGCCTCAGCACTATTTCATCAAACGAAAGCGCAATTGTTGAGGTCACAGAGGAAGATGGCTCTCCAGCTTGTCGAGGGGCCTTCATGAAAGTGGACAAGGTTGGCATGTAGTTACCACGCATAATTGAAGATTGCTTTTGAAGCTTATGAGTGTGATGCTTTGGTGCTTCGTCCTGCAGGAATCTCAGTTTGGAGAGGTCTTCATCCTGGGAATGCCCTTCCTCCGCTACTACTTTACAGTCTTCGACCGCCGTAACAAACAGGTGAAGCGAGACTTGAAGTTCTGTGCGAAGTCCGAATTCGTGAAGTGTGAAACTGTGATACTGCTTACTTTCCTCCTTTTTCTTCATCTTGGCCTCCCTTTTTCTTCAAATCATTCAGGTGCACATCGCAAGATCAACGGAGGACTGCAAGGCACGCATGTGGACTGAGACAGCTGGACGTTGTGCAATTCTGCCTGTGAGGTGGCACCACGCTTATCTCTCCTCGCGACAAATGCAACAGCCTGCTCCCCAAGATGACGGCAATGTTCACATATAAATGTGTATATTTATTGCTGTATTTAAAAAACACACACATATATCAGATGGATTGGCACATACTTATAATATGATAGCACCGCAGTATTGTATAGTAGTAGGGCGAGTATTGGACAGCAGATCCTTTTACAATGGTTTCTTTGAGGCTAAATCGAAGTCAAAACGCCTTGGTGTGGGTTTGACTTCTGCTGACTTCACGGAGGTTTGGGGACCCAGCGGACGATGGAAAGGTTGAAAGGTTTGTGTTTTCGCGTCCAGTTATATAGGGTGGAGAAAGCCTCTGTAGTGTATGTTGAATTTTGCCGAGCTGCGGCCACCATAGGCATCACTTATATAACTGTCTTCCTGAAGCGAAGAATATCACAACAATAGAGAGATGTAATAACTCCTCCATTGGGGTCCATTGTGCGTTGCAATATTATGAAACTCCAAGACAACAATTGCATTTCAAAACGGACTGGTTCTCCCCGCCAAGGCAACTCCAGCGGACCTGGAGTCAGTGATATCGCCCGCCTGGATTGATACTCCTGGACAGTTTATCCAGCTGTGAAATCCATTGGGATTTCATTGGCATGCTGGTCAGAAAGGGACCTCTTGCGGTTACTCCGGTAGCTGGACCGCGGCCTAAGGCCCGGTGAGAGTTGCTCCATTCTGACTTGGTGCACTGGAGTAGAGGATTACAATTGCATTCATCCAACATTTAAAGGATACTAGCAGCTGCTAGCAGCTAGCATTTGCTTACCCGTATCACCCTATGGCCCTGCAGCGTGAAGTGCGCAGCGTTGGTCAGAAAAGTGTCAGTTTCACTTCGGTGGTCAGGTTGCCCACATTTGCCAGCTCAATGGCAATTAGACCCAGAGACTCAGTTGTGGGGGAACCTGAACGGAGCTTCAGGCAGCCCTCGCCAATGACAAGGGGAACCAGATCGACAAGAAATGGGTAGAGGTGAAGCGCTGCATGCCACAGGACAGACGAATTGCTTTTTAAGGTCTAGATTCTAGATTGAATTCTTAGGATTTCCCCCACTGCACATAGGAGGTGATGCGCGCTCGGGAAAGTGGCGGCAGACAGGAGGGAGCCTCGGGATTCTGCGAGCTCGGGCAATGAAAAGTGATGGGAACACTTACTTCCGTGAAAACCTTGTGCGTTTAGAGTTCAAAAAGCAGGATGACAGACGTGATGATGACCGTTGCAGACTTAGAGTGTATCTGCGACTCATAGCAAGGCCTTCGTGGCTTGATTGTGGAGAAGATGGAACGTGGCGGGTTTTGCCTGTGGATACATTCATCATCATCATCATCATCATCATCATCATCATCATCATCATCATCATACATCGTACATCGTACATCGTACATCGTACATCGTACATCATACATCATACATCATACATCATACATTATACATCATACATCTTACATCTTAGTTGCACAACATGTATTTATTTTTCCTCCTCTTTTTTGGAGGCTATTCACTCAAGACGAGGGATGCGGAACCGAGGTCGTGATGGGCCTATGCCTTACCCGCCGCCGGGGCACCCTCCACCAGGCATCTCTCACACACACATATACTCACATATACTAGCACCCACTGATTCTGCCTTGCTCGGTCCCTTCCATTGATTGTTTTAATGTTGAGCAATGCATCCAGCTGCTGGGAGTTCTTCTAACGCAGGTGTCACACTTGTATACATACATACTTCTTCATACTTCCCGTGCAAGTTGATGCTTCGTGGTTTCCGCACTACTCTTTTCCCAAACAGAATCAGAAACAAGTTTCATTTGGTGAGCCTTCAGCTTGGCAGGCTACTATCCTCCTCCTGCTTCACACTTAGCCTGCCTCGAGGATACTGTGGCATAGGCATACGCATTTCGACACTTAGTCAATTAGCATATGAAGCAGTTCTAAGGGTGCTTACGGAGGCGCGTTCGAGCAGCAGCAAGGACGTTTTCAAGCTGGTCGATGGGTGTCACTTCTGACGGTTCATCCAAACTCGATATCTCACAACACGAAGTGTAAATTTAGGAGCAAAGGACGCTACTAGGAACAAAGGGCATCGCTACAAGGAGCAAGGACGCTACTAGGGGTTGTGGCCTTACTACTAGTAGCAATGTTTGCAATTAGAAACAAGAATTAAAACTGTTCAATACTGTTCATATTTCTTGTCTGAAGAAATATCATTCATGCTACAGAGCTTCCAAAATGTACTGCTACCTCAGGACAGCTGTGTCACTGTACTCAACTTGACGTTAAACCATTTCTACCTGCAGACTGCAGATATTGGCAGCCTTCTTCAAACCATGTTTCATGTAGACTCCTAGCTTCCTCTCCCGTGACTATCAAGCTGACGCATGCTGATGCCTCCTTTTCTTTGCGGAGGCTATCCAGGATACCCGCCACCTGCATATGGTGGCTATCCCTATGGCGGAGGCATCCCGGCATTTTCCATCGTCCGAATATATATATATATATAATAAGAATAATGATAATGATAATGATAACAATAATAAAATACTAATAATAGTAATAATAAGAAATAAAAAACATATTAATAACAATAATAATAATCCTAGTAATAATAATACTATTAATAATAATATGTATATATATAGTATATTGTATATAATGTATATATATATATATATATTACGAAAGCCAGCCGATAGGCTAGGCTTGAGCTCTTAGAGCGAACGAAGTGAGTTAAGGGGGTGTGGGGGGGGGGAGGGCGCGAAAAGGCACATTTTGAGAGGGTGAACCCGGAGCTTGGTGGGGGAGAGCACTCCAAAGCGAGGATCAGAAAAGCAGTGAAAATGAGGTCTGGTGATGCGAGTGATGCAATGGACGTCGAGTAGTGCATCATTGGCATCATGAAGGGGTCTGGAGACAATTTTTCTAGTCCGGAGCAGGGCATAGGGACTGTGTAGCTTTGATCGTACCAAGGAGGACCAAGCAACAAAGAGTGAACGCTCTGGGAGCGAACGATGTGAGCACGTCCAGTTGGGCGAGATAGAGGCTTGGGGATAAGAGCGCCGCAAGAGGAGAAGCAAGAAAGCTGCAAGCGTTCAACACTTCATGCTGTGCTCCGATTTTGATCTCAATCGCAGTGATACCAGCTCCCGAAAACTACAAGCTTTCAACTATAGGTGCTCTGCTATTTTTCATCCCAGCCCTGCTCTCTATCGGGCTTCGCATTGATGCACGATACCCGAAACACATTTCAACACAACCACAAAAACAATTTCAGGCATCATTTTCCTGGTGTTCACTGACGCTTATTTTTGCACGGACTCTCAATTAGAACACCAACAAGGGACGCTCCAGAAGGCGCCGCGCCAAGCAAATCAAGAACACTAAAAACATTCAACACTTCATGCTGTGCTCCGATCTTCATCTACGTCGCAGTGATACCAGCTCCACGAAAACTACAACCATTCAAGAATGAGTGCTCTCCTCTTTTTTCCCCCAGCCCTGCTCTTTATAGGGCTTCACATTGAGGCAGGATTCACGATGCCCGAAACACATTTCAAAACAACCAAAAATCACCTTTCGGGCATCCTTCTCCTGGTCTTCACTGACGTTTATTTTTACACGGATTCTCAAGTAGACCACCAAACAGGGACGCTCCGGAGAGCACCGCGCCAGGAAAATCGAGAAAGCCTAAAGCATTCAACACTTCATGCTGTGCTCCGATCTTGATCTACTCCACGTTGATACAAGCTCCACGAAAGCTACAGGCATTCAACAATAAGTGCTCCGCTATTTGTTCCTCCCAGTCTTGCACTACCATATTGGTCTAGTGGTCTCTCGCTGGCTTTCGTCCTCTCCTTTCCCAGGTATACATGTAAGAGGGCTCCATGTATAATATCCAGTTGACCGGAAACACTTCAAAGGTGAACAGACTTCCCTCTGTGTCATTCATTGACCCATTGGTCGAGTCTCAACTGCCTTCACTGGTTGACCTTCGCACTTGAGCTCAAAGTCTTGGATTGCAGGCTATGGGTACCCACCGCCTCCGCCTGACTACTATGCAGTCTTTGGCTCAGTCAATTCCTTTGCTTGCCTGAGCATAAGGATTTCTGTTCGTGACAATTCGGGGCGTTGTCAACACAACCAAAAGCCTCAGATTCCTGGTTCCAGTCGATGATGCAGAGGTTGCTTTGCTTCCTCCAGGCATATGGCTATCCACCACCGCAAGGATACCCATACGGTGGCTATCCACCACCTATGCCAACTGCAAGGCCAGTTCTGATATGTGCTCAACACAAGCGTTGCTCACCTAGCAGAGGGCATTCGGTGCCGGCGTGTAAGGATTGCCCATGCACAATTCCAGCGTAACATTTCAAGCTTTCAATACGCCTTGCTGGAACCGCTTCCTGCAAATCCAACGTGAGGAAACTTGCTTTGATCCACAGACATCTTTGCTTCCTTTGTGTGTGGAACGATCTCTGACAGGTCCGAAGACCAGAGCCGTTCCCGAAGCCGGCGGCGGCGCCGGCGGGCGTGAGGAGCTAATGAGGATCATGAGGCTTTCTCAGTTTCCTTGGTTGTTTTGGTACATCATTTGATATCATAGAACGGTGGGTGGTATCAATGAGAACATATCTAGTCAATGGAGTTTGGACGTGTACGTTTAGAAGAGGATTCAAGGGAAGAGGAAGTCTGAGTCCAGCGTGAGGAGAGCAGAAGCTGTGTTGAAAAAGGTGCCACAGATCAATGCTTTGATGACTTGTTTGCCAGCTAGTGAAGTAGGAGGAGCAAGCATTGGATATGACTGAAACACAAGGCACTGGAACCGAATTGCATGATATCATGATGCCTGTTGCTGTAAGCTTCAATATAGACGAGGAGATGACGAACCGGGAGAAGAAGCAGACGTCAGAAAGAATGAATTTGAGTGGTGTAGCATGCTGTGGCCGAGTGCCGCTAGCTGTCACGTCTACCAGAGAGCACATGAGCAATGAGGTCCCCAATATTCGGACTAAGGAGTTTGATAGGATTTGATGAGGCGTGCTGCAAGGGGCATCAACACTGGGCATCCCTTATTGGCCGTTGTCTCCCTACCAGCAAGCACAAGCATTCAAACATGTGACATCGCTTTTAGCTTGGCTTCAGCGATCGCCAGAATGGGCCAGTTCCATGCGGTGCTTGGACTTTTCCTGGTGTGTTGGCTGAAGGATAGGCAGTGTTTGGCAAAAACATGTTCAAACTACGTCAACTCAATGTTTGGTTGGAAACCTTGCGTACTGTTTCCGTGCTGATGCTTAGACCTGCCCACCTCCCAGAATTCCACAAGTTCAACATTTATATATTCAGAAACTGTTTTTGGTAAAGTAATGTTCGGAAAACTAAAGAATTACAATATAAAGAGTCAATAAGAGTCATGAGTCCGAGGCTCTTATTGAGGCCGTCGCAGAGCCAAAGATCTCAGTAGTCACAGCGCTATTGCCGCCCCGTGGCCCAGGCCTTTCTGTCCTTTCTCTTCTTCTCTAGTAGCTTCTTGTTACTAGTAGCGATGTCCTCCAACCTACTGGCGATGGCCTCCACCTCATAGCGTCCTTGCTACTAGTAGCTTCTATCATCAAACATTCTGAAGTTCAAAAGCTTTGGATTTGTCAAAGCCTCTGTCAATGCACAATCTTAGCAAACACTTTCAAGCACTGCCAGGCCGGGTGAACGACACCCTTGGGGCTGGTGCACGCTTGCGAGTTGAGGCCATCGCAGTTGAAAAACAAACTCATCTCAAAAACAAAGGATCAGTCAGAGTAGCACAAAGGGCCACAAAGGGAGTACGAAGAAGATCTCTGAATACTGCATCCAAATATCCGACCAATCACAGACACCCCTTTGTCCGGAGGCTTCGGGAGGCTGCTTCAGATGGGTCTCGCAAAGGTAAGGTCCTTTGCTGGAACGGCTTCCAGAACCCGAAATTGCAGTTTCAGTTTAATGCAATTCTGTGTTCCTGGCTCAAGACGAAGTCCAAACACAGGTCGTTTAATTTTTTCTCGCAGCTACATTGCAATGGCGTGTTTGAAAGCTGCGACAGCATTGCTTCTGGTTTTCATTGTGCAGGGGCGAAAAGCCAGTGAAGTTGTGAAAGTGCCTGGCTGGGAAGCAAAAGGATTTCCTTTATCTTTTGCGGTCAAGGCTGGTAGCAACGTCTATGCTAGCGGAATGCAGGGAATGGACATGAAGAAAATGAAGCTTGTCGAAGGTGGTGTGAAAAAGGAGACAGAACAGATTCTTCGGAATTTGAATGCTGTGCTTCTGGCGGGAAACAGCAGCTTGGAGCAGGTGACCCTGTGCAGTGTTTCTTTGGTAAACATCACTAGAGATTTCAAACAGATGAACGAGGCTTACGCTTCGTTCTGGCCAAAGGAGCCTCCAGCCCGTGTTGCGGTGCAAGTTGCTGCCTTGGCGGGCAATGCTTCAGTTGAAATCCAATGCAATGCCGCTCTGAATGGTGAAGCTCGAAAGGTTGTCACCGTACCATCTTTCCCAGATCTTTCAGCCAAGGGCTTCCCGCTGTCATGGGCAACAACAGTAGGTGGCATGGTCTACCTGAGTGGGACCCAGGGAATGAACATGTCCACGGGGAAGCTGGTTGCTGGAGGTGTGCAGGCTGAGACCACTCAGGCTTTGAAGAACCTTGAGAAGGTTCTTGAGGCAGCCAATTCAGATGCTGGACGGGTGGTTGCTTGTAGCGTGTCCTTGACAGATATGGCTGACTTTGGAGAGATGAATGAGGCGTACAAGGCATTCTGGCCTAAGCAGCATGGCCTGCCATCAAGGGTTTGTGTTGAGGTGGCAGCACTGGCCGGGACGGGCAAGGTGGAGATTCAATGTACAGCTGCAACCACAGACATGCCTCACGGTGAAATTCCTAGCGTTGTCAAGGTACCTGGCTGGCCAGAGAGCGAATTGCCATTCTCCGCAGCGGTGAAGGTTGGTGGCATCTCCTTTGTCAGCGGCAATCAAGGCGTGGACATGAAGACCTCAAAGTTGGTTTCTGGAGGTGCTGGTCCTGAGACCTCGCAAACTCTGAAGGACATTAGGGAAGCTGTTGAAGCTTCAGGAACAAGCCTGGATGAGGTCGTCGCTTGCGAGGTGTCGCTGGTTCATATGAAGGATTTTGCTGCCATGAACAAGGCCTACTCCTCCTTTTGGCCCTCGGAGCCCCCTAGCAGAGTGGCCGTTCAAGTTGGCGCGCTTGCAAGGGGTGCTTCAGTGGAGATGCGCTGTTTGGCCGCTCTGCCAAGTTCCGTGGCCACCAACCCCACTCACTACGGAAACCCCAAGACGGGCTGCCAGTCTGACGAGCAAGCCATCCGAGTGCAGGGTTTCTCTGGGGACTTTTGCAGTCCCAAGTGCAGCATTAGCGGCACTTGCCCAACCGACGTGCCAACAGGGGACAAGGCCAGTCCGGAGTGTGCTTTGCACACCACTACTGGAGAGAAGTATTGTGCATTGATTTGTGAGTCCAATACGGACTGCGGTGCTTCTGGCACGTGTTCCCAAGGAATGGGGATTGGTTTGTGTACATACCCAGTCACAAATGCCTCAGCTACTACAGGCTTGCATTTTCTTCCTGCTGAGGCTCAAATAGTCGTCTAGGTTCAAAAGACAGAGCAAGCCCAGAAGTTCAGAAAAATGCGCTTGCGGATGCTTGCGGTATTTTGTGTGATTCACATACTGGTATGCTAGTTAACTTGGAAACCGAAAGGTTTGCATGCCCAGAAAGCTTCAAGACTGTTTGGCACTGTGATAAAGGCCTGACCTTGTGGTGGTCGAGGAGCTTTGCGGTGCAGCATAGCGCTTCTTCGACTTTAGAAATAGCGATGGCATGGTGGTGAGATGTAGCCCTAACTAGCCCTTTAGCTTTGAACATGCCAACATGGAAGTGTTCAAGCATGTTAAGTAGCTACAACTATTCAAACAGGTGGTGATATCCATCTCTAGCAGGCCACGAGCTTTCAATGGCTGCTGTGATGTGTTTGGTGCACACACAGGAGACCGGGAGGGCCCCGGTTCCCAGTTTGCAGGAGCCGCTCCAAGAGGAGCTTCCTCCACGACGTGCTGCGGAGAAGGCGGCGGAGGCAGCGTGCCAAGAGGCGAGGACGAGCGTGGACGGCCATGCGTGGTTCAGAAAAACATGAAACAAACTGATTTTGGCTGGATCAGTTAGTTAGTTGTTTGGTTCAGATTTGGTTGGGATTGATGTCCTTCCTGTTCCATTTGACAGAGGATGCTCCTGCCTGCAACGGCTGTGCTAGAGGCCTGCCTTCATGCTGGCTGGCAGCAGCTGCCAGACGAAAGTCAGGCGGATGATGGCTGTTCCTCGCTTAAATGAAACACCTAGAACACCCTATTTCAGATCGGCAAGGGGCATTTTCTTGTCACAAAGCTATCAGTGTTGGTTATCAGTGTTAGTCAGTTGTTGCAAAACCATGTCGCAACCGAGGCCAGCCAGTGGCAATCATCCGTTCGCTCGCAGAGAGCGTGAGCGCTGTTGAGAAGGTCCTTGTTCTAGCACAGGACATCACATCACCTGGAGTTGAGCTTCGCCGCTTTGTTTGGACTGAGATCTAAAATCATCAGTTGCTGTCATCCAAGTCTCAGTTGATTGTTTGTTGTTCCCTGGAGTGCATAACTAAGGATGTGAGGTCTACATTGCCAATATAGATCGAATAGAGGCAAACCATGTCACACCTTTACTTTTGGCACCAGAACAGGCTGGAGTTTGTGCTCAGGTGGAGACATCTGTCCGTCGAATCAATGTAGATCAGGTTGAGACGCTGGGCATCAAGGCACAAATGGTCAGGTGAATTGAGAGATGGCCATGGCGTCATGACGTTGGAACAGTGCATTCACTGAAAAGGCCTACGACAAACAGGGCAACGTTTTCTCCTCCTTGGAGGGATTGCAGCTGCTCGATGTGATTTTGAGCAAAGTCTGTGAAACAGTGTGCCGTTGGGTGCCTGGGCCACAGGTTTCGCTGGCGCTTGGGCGATGCCTCCGTCCTCCGGAGTCCAAGACTTGTGGACTCTGCCTTTAAGCTGAGCCCGGTGCGGCGTGCGCTGGCAGAGGTGCTCAGACTTAGTGACACTGCAACGAGTAGAATGAGTAGAATTGCCAATGAAATGGGATGAAAAGCAATGTCAGGCTGGCGCGCAACCCGACACTGTGCTCTTGCAAGGAGTGGCAACTGGAAGGACGACTCGGTCGGTCCGGTGGCACTCTTCTCAGGTCGGACTCAAAGCGTTCTGACCGTGTTCGAAGGACTACGGTTGGGGCCAACCTTACCATTGGCAAGAAGGTCATTGCATCTCCAGAGGTCCATTTGACAGTCTTGGAGAACATAGCCGCTTGATCGAAAGGCTTTGGCTTTGTCTAAAAAGAATTGCTTGATTTCAGCCTGCCAAGTTTAGAGTACAGTAACTGCAGTACTGTAAGTGATTCAGCACCGGAATACCTCAGGTGGTGCTCCCATCGCTGATCTACACCCCTCCTATAGCTCATCTTCAGCTGCACTTGAAAATCCTGCGTGGCACGGGTGGACCATTGGAGGCGAGGGCATCGAGGGTTTGATGCCAACAAACGGAGGTACTTTTTCCTTGAAGAAGCGCTCGCACAAATGACTTGGTTCCTATATCTTTAGAGAAACTTAGCTTACAGGAGGGAGGAAGGTGACAACTGGATAACCGTCATCAACGTGATTAGTAACGTGCGCGAGACGCTTCAGCAGGAGAGAGTGTGTAACTTCTGGACAACAGAGACGTACTTTGGGTGTGTGGCACTTTTGCCTTTGACATTCTCTTGAACACTTATGCAACCGCTTCGTTTATGGACCTGGATGTTTATTGTATATTACATATTTGGGCAAACACTTTTGTTGCTTACTGTTGTGTTGCTTGAGCAGAAAATGAGAGGTGCAAACCATGGTTAAATTCCACGTCAGTCCAGGCGGACTCTTTGCATCGAGTGTTTAGAGTGTAACGGAGATACAGACTCTGAAAACTGAAGTGGCAGGGCATGTTTTGGCTTTTGTGTTGTTTTTGATTGTTTGCCCACATCCTCATATTATCGGGATCTGCGGGACTCTCCAGATTTGATCCTTTAGCTCAGCATGCTTTGCCAGGACTTTCCTCCAGTTCAGCTGCCGGTGCCACATTTCCGGTGGCATGCTCAAGGAATGAAAGGCCCAAGTAAATACTTTGACAGCTTGATTTAAGCACTGAAAGGTCATTCTTCAAATTCTTCAGCCACAGTTGTTGAACCGTCAAGAGGAACTGTAGGATACTGTACCAAAGCCTGTCGGTGGGTTTGTGGCTTTGTTCCATAGCTTTATATCACAAAATGCACGCAATATATCATACATTTGCTCACAGGCAACGACACCGTGCTTTATGTCCAGCCTGAGATGGGTCGGGTGGTCACGCAGAAATTGGGCACTTCGCGTGTGCTAGCAGTTGACTCAAGACACTTGGCGCAGAAGATGAGATTGATGATAGAGTCCAACAAGTTGTTAGAATCAGTTGAATTCAATTTTTAGCAAAGGGTCTTTTAGGTGGTTGCATAGTGGTTACCGGTGGACCTTTTAAATCCGAGAAATGGAGGGACAACTGACCGCCAGACCTGGAAACGTGTTCAGCACACCAATTACCAAGAGGGAGCGCACATCAGATACATGCAGTGGCTTCCTGATTAAGAGGATTGGAGCATTCTACTTTGTCAGGAATTGAGAACAACACTGCGGCCTCCGTAATTTATGTGACTTGCTTGCAGCTACCTTGTGCATTTTCTAATTAATTACAAGCTTGCAAGACTTGAAGCACAGCAGCATGGGCAAAAGCAAGATCATTCAAAGTCAGGAAAAGGTCCTACTGTAAATACACTAGATGCATGTATCCACTGTAAACACCATTATTATAGTCATATTTGTCCGTTTCTCATGTCCGCAGAGGTGACGAATCCTGTGACTCTTCGGTTTTGGACACGGCCTCTTTGGCGCGACCCTGGCATCTCTATCATGAGACAGACTCCAGGCGCGTGGGGAGAAGTGGGGAGATTGTTTGTGTGAGCGGAGCTCGAGACCGGCATGCCACGTAGTCACTACGTCACCTATATGTCACTGTCACAGGTGTTTCTTTGACCTAGAGGTCTCTGATGGTCTTGTTGCAATAGCAGAGAGGATGTTGGATTCCTGTGCTTCTTTGCACTTGGGAGGCTGGAGAGGAAGCATGGAGAGCGGCTGGGAGGACGAAGAGCTGCACTTGCTGCGCACTCCGACCATCGGCACCTCTTCAGCGCCCTGGCATGTCTAGAGAAACTGCTTCATTGCAGTCTTGGGCCTCGTGCCAATAAGAGATGTGCTTTGTCTTGCCATTTGGTCCCGATTTGTGATCTCCTTTTGGAGTAAGGATGAGCCCACACTTCAGCTTGTGCAGGGCAGGACACCGACGCAACAAGCGGGGTCGTAAAAGTTATTGTGTGACGATGTATATCGCGTGCATGGCTTAAGCACATACCAAACCAAAGTGTCCGCACGCCGATGCAAGGACCTATGCTTTGAAGCTGGAACTACGGGATAAAGATTCAAATCTTATGCAACTTTTCTCAAGTGCTTTGCTAACCATCCAGCAACCCCATTCACTCTTTGCAAGCAGCTGAAGCCAACTCTTTGCTCGTGCATTTGGAAATGTTTCTGCTGAGGCAGATCCCTTTGAACCTGCGAGCTAGGGCACACTGTCAGGTGGGACTGATGAAAGCCAACAGTCTTTATAGCTATTCCAATGTAATGCTCAATGAAGTGTTTTCAGGGTCTGCCCTTGATTCTGCTCTCAGCACCTCAGGCGGCCAATGCTTCGGATGCTAACCTGCAGCTTCTTCACAAGGCGATTGGTGCAGATGCTAGGAAACTCGTGCAGAACACGTCAGAATTGACAGGGAGCATGTTGAGCTTCCGAAGATTCCGGCCGCAATAGTCCTTGGGCACGATGCACCCTAGACCCGAACACAGGCTGTTCATCAGCTAACAGTTTGCTTTTTTGATCTTTTGGCTTTTCTGGTCATAACATTTGAGACCAATGACCGTCGCCTGATTTAGGGAATCTCTAGAGCTTTGGCGCATATCCTGGACTTGCCGTGAGGCATCCAATTCCGCCGTGGTGATCTTCAGGGCTGTCGAGCTTGGGGAGGCCTATGACCTTGAACATCCTCGAACTCGAACCATTTCTCCCTGTGAATTTTGTCATTGAACAGACGCGAGCCTTTCTTGCTTTGTTTCGTTGCAGCCAGCTGGTGCGGTGTGTTGTTCGAAAGCTTGGTTAGCAATTGCCTGGCAATTGTGAAGGGACACATCACCATCGAGAACCTTACCCTTGAAGCAGACAAGGATGATCAGGCAGGTTGCAATGAGGATCATGAGGAAGTCCTATGTCGGTGTCCCCCGCTATTCAGTTATTTAAATACATAGTTGCTATGCTCTTTGCCTTCCAAGTTTTCGATGTGTTTCAATGTTTTTAAATGTTTTTAGGCACTTGGCAGTCACCCTTTTTTCTTTCAAACTGATATTGTGGGGTGACTCTTGGAGAATGTCAGGACCGAGGTTTGAAAAGTACCTCCCTGAAGCTGCTGGCCAAGCAGGTCTGTGGCTTAGGGGTAGCGTGGGTGGTGGGCCACGTGTTCGCCAGTATGTTGCGTAAGAATGATTGTTTTGCAACAAAAAACAATTAATATTAAACATTATAGTTATATGTGTTTAAGTCATTCTAAATGATTCGCTTTTGCCATTGAACATGAGAATCGAGCCTGTGAATCGATAGGCCTTTCACGTGGCTCCGCAGCTGGAACCAATGGTTGATGTCTCCGGACCAATGCTTTTGCCCAGGCTGAAGACGTCCAGCTATGCGGTGCCATGATTCATGTATATTCATCCTAATAGCGATGGCCTCCACCTCCAACCTAATAGCGATGGCCTCCATTTAAATTCATTTGGCCGTTAGCCTCATTTCGATCATATTCGATGCATTTAGCCTTTCCATGTTGAGTGAGAAACGAGTGGACGTGTGTAGATCTGCCTTCGGATATCAACGACTCTTGCTGTTGTTCAACGTCTCCGTCAAAACGCAGTGGAGGTGGCATTCCTATTTGCTTCCAGTCCGTGGAGGCAGTGGTCGACAGGCGCAAAGCATGTGCACACGGCTCCGAGTTCATCCAAAGTCCAAGCTGCGCTTGTTCCGGCCAGAGTAAGAGTAATTCATGCCCAGGTGTTTGCAGTCCACTCACAGCCAGATGGTGCGATCACAGTGACGCCAGATGGCAGAGTACAGGCTTGGAAAAGCAAGTAGTTCAGAGCGGCATTAGCCCCCGAACCCACTGGAATGACACTCCAGTCGACTCCAATGACTTCGACTTGGCTTCGAGGCCTTTGGTCAGCTGTCCAGTGGCGAGCTGAGGGTGCATGATGTGAGGCAGGGTTTTCGGGATTCGGATCATCAAGAGTGCCTCAAAGTGATGAGGGACACTGTTTGCGGTTTCTTCTGGTTTGGTGTCAGGAACCCTCAGAACAACTTCACCTTGCGCGTTTTAGTGAGAAGAGCAGGGCGGTTGGTCCTGCAGCTCCTTGGTCAAATGTTGGTCGATTGCAAACTTTGGGGACCAGATATCAGACAGCTCAGGCCTCGATACTTGCAAATACGGCTTCCCGAAAAGCCAACAGAGAAGGATGAGGACAGGGTTTGGAGAGAAACACCACCAGCAATGACATGTCTTGAAAGAAGAAGGTGGCCCAAGATGGAAGAACAATCAGACGCATCACACATTTGACCATATACAGCCAAACAGCTAATGACAGATATTTACATATACTATATATTTACTAGACGACAGGGTGGCCCGAAAGCATAGTAGGAGTAAGCATTATAACGAAAGGGTTCCAAACGAAAACGAATGATCACAGGTGCATGATGATGTATAATGTTTGCGTATGTATGACGATGATGATGACGATGATGATGATGACGACGACGACGACGACGACGATGATGATGATGCTTCATGATGATGATGATGATGATGATGATGATGATGATGATGATGATTCATGATGATGATTCATGATGATGATTCATGATGAT